AGAACGATGTTACGATACAAAGGTCTTCTCACGTCAATCGGACAATTTTGTATTACCGTGTCGACAATTTCCGACAGCGGCGTCGTAAAATCCGGATTGGAAAACTGGAAATTAAAAAAATAAATAAAATTTCAAACATGACGACAATGTATTATTTTAATTATCCTCCTCCTCCTCCTCCTCCTCCCCCCCGTCCTTTTGATTTTCTCCTACCTCGGGATGAAAGAAAATTTCAGGTCCTAAAAACCTTTCGTATCCTACGTCGACATTAAATGGATTTTTCGTCACAGAATTTATACCCTCGTATTTTTTCATCCATTTACCCGAATCCGTGTCGTATTTGGCAAATTCTTTGGCAATGTCTGGACAAATGTAGCAATACCTTTAACAAAAATCAAAATATTAAAAAAAACCAATTTCCCACCATCTTTTCTCTCTCTCTCTCTCTCTGTTCCCTTCTCTCTCTCTCTCTGTTCCCTTCTCTCTCTCTCTCTCTGTTCCCTTCTCTTTCTCTCTCTGTTCCCTTCTCTCTATCTCTCTCTTCCCTTCTCTTTCTCTCTGTTCCCTTCTTTCTTCCTCTCTCTCTCTGTTCCCTTCTCTCTCTCTCTCACCTTTCTTTAATTGCTTTTGCTGTTTCCAAAGATTGTTCTGGAGGAATACCGACTTCTCTTTCTCTCAAAAGAGATTGTATAAAATATGTTATGTTTCTACCGGCGATCGGAATGTGTTTGATACAACTACCAATAACATAGCCTTCAGCCTGTAACAAAAACAAAAAAACAATCAATCAATGATTACTCCAGTCAAACAAAAAAGCATAAGGAGTGTATATACAAACCACTGGAATGACATGGGTAACACCATCACCACTATCGACAACAATCCCCGTAAGTGTTCTCTCTTCGACTGGACGAGTTGCCCAAGAAGCAGCCAATGCTAAAACTGCTTGAACAGCAATGTACAATCCGGGTACATTAAATGATTCAAACATTATTTCTAAAAATAATAATGATAATAATGATGATAAAGCATGTTTTTTTATATATCGAAGGTAAATCAATCAAAATGAAAATTCTTACCGGCTATATATTCTCGATTTTCAGGCGTGTTGAGAGGTGGTTCGGTCAACAAAAAGAAATGATCTTCAGGTTCGGCTCTCAAATATTTAAATATACATTGTTCTAAAAACTT